CGGTAACCCCCGCGCGTCCCGGTCTCTCCTGGCCCCTTCCCCCTCCGTCCATTTGGCCAAGTGCCCGGCTCGTTTCAGCCCCTGTCCTGGAAAGGGGCAAGCAGCTCTGCGGACGGAAGAGACGCCTGCCGCAGGGTCGGCGGGGTCTGCGCCGCACCCGGAGGGAAGGGTCCCGAACCCCAGCGCCCGCGCCCCTCGGGTTACCCCCCACGCCCCGCGCACTCACAGCCCGACGCAGCAGGTTTCGGGAGCAGAAGCAAGAGCAAGAAGACCGGCATGAATCTCCCAGGCAGCTCCATCGCGACGCACCGGGACACCCGCGGAGGATCCGGAGAGGGCTGGGGACTGGCGCCTGAGGGAACCCTGCAGGAAGCGGGGAGTAACCTCGGATTCCGACGGCTGCCGTGGTTTTAAGCGCCCGGCGGCGGGGTGTGGGCGGGCGTGGCCGTCATTACGTAGGTCTCTTCCTTTCACTCCCCCCGGGTGGTGCGCTCCCGGGAAGGAAGTTTCCGCGGGCCCGTCTGGAGAGAACTGAGCTGCTGGCCTTGTCGCTGCCCGGGAGAGGCCGGGCTGGCCACCCCCCTCCGCTGCTTGGAGTGTTTTTGTAAAACTCATTTCAGAGAGAGGAAGGTCTTCAGCAGGGGAGAGAGAGAGAAACGTCAATGATGAGAGAGAGTCATTGATCCGCTGCGTCCTGCACGCGCCCGACTGGGATCGACCCCGCTACCAGGGCACGTATCCTGACCGCGATCTCCTGGACCTAGCTCCCCGCCCAATCGCGGAGCCACGCTCTGCAGGGCACATAGCTTGGCGCCTAGACTGGGCAATCCCCGTCCTGGCGACCCCTCTCTGCCTCGAAGGCCACAGCGCCCAAGGATGCAGTTGTGCTAAGTTTAGGGCTTTGTTGAGACAGTCTGCGCNACTGGGCAATCCCCGTCCTGGCGACTCCTCTCTGCCTCGAAGGCCACAGCGCCCAAGGATGCAGTTGTGCTAAGTTTAGGGCTTTGTTGAGACAGTCTGCGCATCGCGCCTCACGCCCGCGCTCCGACTGCCGCTCGCCATGCCCAGGACCCCCGGCTCCCAGTTCACTGTAGTCCTGACTGTCTCTGGGTGCACGGAGGTGAGAGCAGGATGCAACCTTCAGTGGGCTGGGGGAGGGGACGGGCTTGGGCACGTAAGCAGACGCGCGGGACGGAGGACCCGAGGCAGTTCCAGAACTTTCTACCGGTAGCACCGCGCCCTCCCCCACGGGCCGTCCCCGCCGATCCCCGCCGCCGGCTCTTTTCCGTTTTGGTGTCCGTGACAGGTTTCGGCGTCCTGGCAAGAAGGACCACGAGAGGTGCTAGAAGTGA